GGGCAGATGGACCTGTAGCGGGTTTGGTGCTCTCTCAGTGGCAGGACAGAGGAGGACCCTTCCAGACAGACAGACAGCTTGAAGCTTCTTGAGAGAAGAAGAGCAGAACACTTTGTCTCTGGGCCCCTTGTGGCTGTGAACCTTCTCCATGTTGTGCACTGATTATAGTTCTAGACCTTCTAAATGACTACCCAGTGAGGCAGCCCTTCAGCTACTGAACTACTGGGCTTATTTTGACCCAGTCTCCTCACTGTAAGGTATGAGAGCAAGGCTAAGTTTCCTTCTGAGTCATTCCTGGCCAGAGCCACCAGGACAGTGCTGGCACTCAGGAGGTCCAGGGAGTGTAGACCACATTGGGTGATACTGTCAGAAGGGGTGACACCAAAATGACTGTCTATATAATTTAATAAAGATATCCCTATAATTAGTTATAGTTACAAAACCTAAAAAGAAGTGTATGCTCAGCATTTATCAAGCTGAAAGAACTGAAGAAAAAAATCAAGCCTCAACTTGCAAGATTGAAGAATTTTATGGGCAAGATAGTAAACCATATCGAAGCATAAAAAAAAGATGGTAAGAATGCAGAGTCATTGTTCCCAAAAAATAGACTGGTCAACATTCAACAATTTCAGGAGGTAGCATATGATCAAGAACTGATGATATTGAAGGAAGAAGTCCGAGCTGCACTGAAGACATTAGCTAAACACAAGCTCCAGATTACCAATTGAAATGTTTCCACAAACTGATGCAGTGCTAGAAGCACTCATCTAAGCCAAGAAATTTGGAAGACAACTATCCAGTCAACCAAATAGAAGACGATATTTATGCACGTTCCAAAGAAAGGTGACCCAACAGAATGCAAAAATTATCTAACACTATCATTGCTATCACACCCAAGTAAAAATTTTCTGAAGCTAATTTAAAAATGATTGTGGAAAAAAAAGAAGAAGAAGAAAAAGATGATAGCAGTCTATTCAAAATTCAGAAATTCAAATTGGATCCAGAAGAGGATTGTTTTGTTGTTGTTAAGTGCTGTTGAGTCAGTTTTGACCCATACTGCCCTTGTATAGGGTTTCTGAAGAGTGACTGGTGAGCTTGAACTGCCTACCTTGCAGCTCAAACCAACTTTGCAGTCCAGCTCATTAAGCCACAGTGACACCCCAGGACTTTGTTGCTGACATCAGATGGATCTTGGCTGAAAGCAAATAATCCCAGAAAGATGTTGTCTTAGTTATCTAGTGCACCTATGACAGAAATACAAGTGGGTGGTTTTAACTACCAGAAATTTATTCTCTCCTGGTTTAGGAGGCTAGAAGTTCAAATTCAGAGCACTGACTCCGGAGAAAGGCTCTTGTCTCCTTTCAACATCAGTAGGCATCCTGCTTGGTTAAGTAGAAGGGTCAGTGAAAAAGAGGAAGACCCCCAATGAGATGGACTGGCACAGTGGCAGAGCTTAAATGTAACAATAGTTGTGAGGATGGTGCAGGACTGAGCAGTGTTTTGTTCTGTTGAGCATAAGGTTGCTATGAGTTGGAACCAACTCAGTGGCACCTAACAACAATAGGTCCAGCATCCCATGTGTCTTGGCACCAATCTTCCTCTGGATCAAGAAACCTCACAGTGCAGGGGTCCCAAGTTCAAAGGATGTACTCCACTCCTGGCTTTTCTCTCTTGATGGTAATAAGTTCCTCTCTTTCTGCTCAAGTCATTCTCCTTTTATCTCTTGCAAGATAAAAAGCGTTGTATGCCATACTCTTGGAAATCTCCCATAAATCAGATCAGGGTGGTAGTGGGTGGTGTATTCTTGGAGTCCTGATATGATGCTGTAGGATCAGCACTGGACTATTAACCACAAGGGCAGCAGTTGAAACCCGCCAGCCACTCCTCAGAAACACTATACAGGGTCACTATAAGTCTGAACCAACAAAAGTGACAACAACATCCCACCCTTAATCCTCTTATTGGTTTATCACATCAAATGACACCATGGGAGACAACTGCATTTCAACTGCCAAACCACCAAGAGTCCTGGCCCAGTTAAGTTGACACAAAACCTTAACTATCACACCCTGGTATTTTCAAACCCCTCATATGCATGTGAAAGCTGGAGGATGAATAAGGAAGACCAGAGAAGAATTGATGCATTTGAATTATGGTGTTGGTAAAGAATATTGAAATACCATGAACTGCCAGAGGAATAAACAAATCTATCTTGAAAGAAGTACAGCGAGAGTGCTCCCTTAGAAGCCAGGATGACAAAAAACTTTTTCTCACATACTTTGGACATGTTATCAGGAGGGACCATTCCCTGAAAAAGGATATCATGCTTGGTAAAGTGCTGGGTCAGCAAAAAAGAGGAAGACCCCCAATGAGATGGATTGACACAGTGGCAGCCACAACAGGCTCAAACACAACAATTGTGACGATGTCACAGGAGTGGGCAGTGTTTTGTTCTGTTGTGAATAGAGTGGCTATGAGTCGGAGTCTACTAGGCAGAATCTAACAAGAACATAGTTATTCCAAAAAAAAAACATTTTTTTATAAGACCAGCTTTCACGTATCAAACTCTATATGACTTACTTTTTGAACCTTCTAATGTGAGTCAGCCAAAGCTGCCATTATTACACAATAGTTAGGATGCTTCCAACCCCACGGTTCTGTCAAGCAAGTGCTGTTGTATTTCATTGTTGTCAATGTTTTTAGTCACTGATTTTTGTCAAATTTTCTGGTGTTTTAGCTGCAATACTATGCTAAGTAGTATTTGTCAACCCATTTCAATCACTTTTTGAGAAGGAATTCATAGTTTAAGGAAAAGAAGAAAAAATTGTACCTGAAGTTACCAGTTTCCATTTGCTCCATGTCCAACCTATTCCCACCCACCCACCCCTCCTTTCTGTCTTTCACCCTCAAGAGCCAGGACTTTTCCTAAAGGAAGCTCTTACCACTGCAGCTTCATTTCTGGAAATCCTGGGGTTTCTCCCTCTACCCTGGGCCACAGGAGGCTCTGACACCTGCTTTAGTGATGACCCAGACCTGGAAGAGAGTCCTGCCAGCAAGTCTGGAAAAAGACCTAGACTTCAATATGCAGCTGGGCCAGTCACCAGGGAAGCCAGGGACAGGGCTGACACTCCAGAAGCACCCCTTTTGTGATTCCTTTCCTCCCCCAACATCTGAGTAAATGCTCCATCAGATGCTTGGGGAGAGAAGGAATCTCTGCTTCTCCTAGCTCCCCCTCCCCCATATTGTTCCCAGGAGGCTTCCCTGCACCTCTTCAGGGTCATTCTGGGGACACTTCCACATTTGGGCTTCTGACTCCTGACTGTCTCCAGGAATGGCCCCACTCTCCCCTGGGCCCCTGACTTTCCCAGATAGCTTTAAAAATAAACAAACAAGCAACCAACAAAAGACAATTGCCATCGAGTCCATTCTAACTCCTGGAGACCCCACGTGTGTCAGAACACAACGGTGCTCCATAGAGTTTTCAATGGCTGATTTTTCAGAAGGAGACCACCAAACCTTTCTTCTGAAGAAACTCTGAGCTGACTCAAACCACCAACCAAGCACCTAGGGATTCCTCAGAAGACTCAGACACCCAGGAATTCAGAGTGAGACCTGGTCCAGAAGTCAGAGGGGCAGCTTGGGAGGTAGGAGGGAGAGGGAGACCTGGAGGACTCCAAAGGGTCACTTCTCCCAAGACTCCAGGCCTTGCTCCCATGAACCCCTACAGCTCTGTACATTGAGAGGGAATGGAAGCAAGGAGGGAAGCCAAGGTCAATTCCAGGGCTGTGAGCATCAGCCCAAGAGGAGGTTTTCAAGCCTAAAGTCAGGTGCCCCCAGTGTCTGTGCTGCTCTCTTCTCCCTACCTGGTTTTTGTCTCTAGCGCTCTCCAAGGCAATGTCTTTGCTTCCTTGATCCCTCCCTTTCAGAGTTGCTTGTCTCCCTTTGATATTCTCCCTGTGTGCACTCATTTTGTTTTCATTCCTCTAGTTCTCACCTGCCTTTTTCTCAAACTCTCCTAGTGGTTACAAATCGGGCTGCCAACCCCTAGGTCGGCAGTTCTCGAGAAACTCCCAGCTGTTCCCGAGAAACTCCCAGCTGTTCCGCGGGAGAAAGATGAGGCTCTCTGCTCCCCTCCCGTAGAGATTTACAACCTCAGAAACCCTGTGCAGGGTTGCTATGAGTCTGAACCGACTCCACGGTACTTAACAACAACAAATAGCTGTATATTGATTTTGCTTCTGTTTCTGTTTCTTAGGTTTCCTGTTTTCCTCTCTCAGTCTTACTCCTCAACTCTCTCTCTTTCCATCTCTGCCCACAGGTTGCCTCCTCTCCACAAAATAGGCCCTGGCTCCCTTAGGTCAGGTCCCTCCATGTTCACCTCCGCTTCCCTCTGCCCCTCTCTCTTCTCTCCCTTTCGGTCTAACATCCTCCTTCGCTAATCTAACCCCATCACTGCCCATCCCTCTTGCTCCAACTCTTTTCTCCCTTTCCTTTGATGAACTCCCCAAAGCCCAGCCACTCTCTGCCCCAGGTTACCACCAGAAGCATCACTTACCCAGGATCATTGGCCAAAAGAGGAACACCCAGGGGCCCCTTGTCCTTCGGGCCCCCCTCATGTCTCCAGAAAGAATCCCTCCCAAGGGAAACGCTTCAGCCAGCAGCGGTGAGAAGTGTGAAGAGCAGAGGTGAACCTGTCCCCACCGGCTGCTGGCCTGAAACAGGTGTATTTCCCTGGAAGAGCCAGAGTCCCCGAGGAGGAGGACAAAAGAAGGCGGGGCCCGGTGCCAATCATCCTTGCCCCGTCTTTTCTTTCCTCCATCTCCACTCCCTACCCCCAACAGAAAAAAGAAAGAAAGAAAAAAAACAACAACAGTGACACACCCATTGCTCTGCCCCCAGTCAGCGTGTGCCAGGCTCATAAAGGGGAGGGGGGACTTAGAAGAAGGGTGCTGGGGAGTAAAAACTGGGGCACATAGAAGATGACTGGGTCACTCTCCTACCTGGACTCCTGGGCTCTCCTCCCTCCCGCAGGGCTCCTGTCCTGCTGAACTGTGGGCTGCTGCAGGGGGCAGCAGCTGGGTCACTCTAAAAGGAAGGACGGGACAGGTGAGAGAGAGGGAGACAGGGACTGATACAGAGTGAATGTGAGCCTGTATGACTAGGGGAAGGGAGTGAGAGTGGAGGACGCTCTAAGGGAGAATGGAGTTGTTGTTGTTAAGTGCATTAACCCACAGCGCCACACCAGCACTCCAATGTTGAATGGAGTAAGGTTAGGCAAAACCCTGTATGGATCTTTTGGAAATGAGTGGGTGGTGGGCTTAGAATGTTTGCTCAGTGCCAGACACATAGAAATCCTGGTGTGGTACTGTGGGTTAATGCTCCAGACTGCAAAGTTGCTTTGAACTGCAAGGTTGGCGGTTCAAGCTCACCAGCTGCTCTTCAGAAACCCTATACATGGTAGCTATGGGTCGTAATCAACTTGATAGCACACAACAACATCAAATGGTGGATTCCTTCTTTCTGGGAGAGAGAGAGTAGGGTCAGGGTCCAGAAAGCCCAAGGCATGCTGGGAAAGCAGACTGAGGGATCTGGGATAGGTAGTGGGGTGGGAGGGCAGAATCTAGGTAGACTTGAGGAACTATGATATAGGAGGAAGTGGGGGCTTCTCTTGGAGACTTCAGGGCTCAGGTCACCCTATACTGACCTCCTGGGACTCACAGGCACAATGAAGCAGGACCAAGAACCCCAGAAGCGATGTGCAGGGCGGGGTTCTGAAAGTGAAGGAAGTTAGCTACTTTAGCTTTGCAAAGGAAAACAATGGTAGGTTTCCCACACCTGCCACCGTGTGAATCCTTCCTTCTGGTTCTATAAGACTTGATTTCCTGCGTGTGGGGTGTCTGTGGAGTGATTGGTACCAGAGCAGGAAGCTCAGGCTCTTAGACACTATGGAACCCACAAGAGGAATTAACATTTCCACATTCCTGGGCAAAACCAGCCTTGCTCAAGGAGGAGTTGCCGGGCAGTATTATGGTGCCATCTCAGAACACCATAAGACCCACCATCTACTAGCACTGGCTTTCTGAAGCTAAAAGTGCAGTTAGGTTCAAACCCAAAGGCTAGCACTTTGGTTATGAGACAGTTGTTGTTGTTAAGTGTTGTGGAGTTGGTTTCACTCATAGTGACCCTGCATAGGGTTATTGAGATGTGACTGGTGGGTTTGAACCACCAACCTTGTGGTTAGCAGTCTAATGCTTGTCCTACAGCACCACACCAGGACTCTATGAGGCAAGTGGTGGTAGTAGTGTGCTATGGAGTTAGTGAGCAGAAAGTTTCATCTTTCTCCCATGAAACAAATGGTAGTTTCGTGCTGCGGACTTTGAGCTTAGCAGTCCAACTCATAACCACAACGCTACCAGAGTTCCCTCCATGAGGCAGATACTACAGAGAAATAGCATGGTACCTTTACTTCCCCTCCACTTTTGTGTAGATGAGATTATCCCACTCTTTCCTGGGGGCAAGAAAGTCATAAGGTCACGGGGGACTTGAGGCACAGAGAATAGGAGAGAAGGAGACTGACCATCATGATGAGAATTACAAAGACTTCAAGGCCCAACCTGTTTTCTTGGTCATTTTTTCTGTTAGTTCTAATGGGTTTGTTCTAATGGGTTTTCTGTTAGGCTAATGGGTTTGCCTATTAATTTGCTAGCCTTAGCTCTGGTAGCATAGTGGTTATGAGTCAGGCTGCTAACCTCAAGGTCAGCAGTTCGAAACTACCGTCTGTTCTGCAGGAGAAAGATGAGGCTTTCTGCTCCAGTAACGATTTACAGTCTTGGAAACCCTCTACAAGGTCACTATGACTAGGAACCAACTCCATGGCACATTACCACCACCACCGCCACCATTAACTTGCTGGATGATTCATTTGGTGATGTTCTCTGTGTCCCATCTATAACCGAGAGAAAAGCATTCCAGATTAAACCAAACTAGGAGTTGTTTGTCTTGTCAACTTCTCCCAGATAACCTCACTCCGATTCAGGAAGTCCAGAGGCACAGAGCATTCTCTGGAGGCTGCTGGGGTGGCCAAGACAGTTAAGGGGACCTCAGGATACCTAGACTTGAATCCCCAGTTCTGCCACTGTGTGACCTGAGGCAAGTCATAGCCTCTCTGAGTCTTCTTCATCTGGATAACAATACCTATCCACAAGATGGTAAGAGTGAGAGAAGTAAAATGTGTTAAATTTCTTTCCAGATGTTAAGTGTAGAGGGCACTTGCCTCTTATTTCTCCCGACATCATCCCTGAAACTAAATACAAAGAAGTAACTTGTCCAAAGTCATTTAAGAAGAGTTAGAATCTGGAAATGAGTTTCCAGAGTCATCTATATCCAAAGAACTTTTCTATGTCCCCTTGGAATTTTGAGATATTTTGATTTAGGCAAGTTAGAACTTAATGAGAACTCATCTTTTCCTTGCCTACCTCCCGTTCTTTTCTCAGTTTCTCTTTGAGCCCAACTCCTCAAATTGCCCATTTTTAAGAGTTTCAGGATGCTTCTAGGTCTCTATGAAAAATTCCTCTCTCACATTAGGTCATAAGATACTCATCTCCTCTTTCTTCTTCCCTTCCAAAGTATCTGATGGATACAGAAAAAAAAAAAAAACCCAAACCATACCTGTTGCTGATTCCAGCTCGTGGCAACCCCACGTGTTGCAGAGTAGCTGAGCCTTTCTCCCATGGAGCCGCTAAGTGGTTTCAAACTGCTAACCTTTAGGCTAACAGTTGAGCGCAAACCCCTTGGACCACCTGGGAATCTTGGTGGGGGCAGAGAGATGGGAGGAAAGGAGTGGACTCCCTGAGTTCTGCCAGAATTCCAATGGGGATTTCCTAGGTCTACAAACTGCTGGCTTGTTGGAGACCTCTGAAGTCAAGTTTCAATTAATGTTCATGGGGACAAAAAAGAGTTCAGTCTGGACTTGGGTTATAAGTAAATTAGTATAGGAATAAGATTATTAACTTTTCACAGGGAGGGAAGAGATAGATGTGGTTTAGCAGACAGCCTGGGTTCATGGCAGTGAAGTCAGAATTGAAGGGAAATTCCTGTTACCCACAGCAGGAATCCCTAGTGTTTGTTGTTGTAGTTGTGAAGTGCCATCAAGTCAGTTCTGACCCATAACAATTCAGTATAGGGTTTCCGAGGAGCAGCTGGTGAGCTTGAACCACCGACCTTGCAGTTCAAACGGCTTTGTAGTATGGTGCATTAACCCACAGCGCCACACCAGGTGTTTGGGGTTCCTTAAATTCCTTACCTCCATATAATTTATACCCTGGTAGAACCTCATGCTGGACTTCTGGTGTAGCGTTGTAAGATCAGCACTGGACTGCAAGCCATACGTTCTCAAACCTCCGAAATTCTACATATGAGTCAGAGCCGACTCCGTGGCACTTAACAAGAAACTCATGTTATAGCTACTAAATTACTTCTGGTCAAACTTAAGATACCAAAACTGAGAAGACGTACAGGAAGTCAGACTTTTCTTCAACCTGCTGTATTAAGTTGTCACCTGGAGTTGGCTGTGATTAGTGACTGGAGTCCAGGCACTGCATGGGTCACATCTCACTTAATTCTGCTCATAACCCTGTGAGGTGCATTTCACATGAGGAAATAGAGGTTCAGGGAGATGAACATGGGTTCCTGTCACCCCTGAGTCATGTGCTAGGTTGAGCGATCAAGTGAAACCAAAGGAGGCTGACTCCCCTGGTCATATTGCCCCAAGTTACACAGTAAGTCTGGAATTTGAGCCCAGACTAGCCTGGCTCCTAAGTACAAGAAGGGAGTTCACTCACACAGTGCTGACAGTATGCCAAACCCTTTTTGTTTGTGATTTCCCTGTGGCAGATTCGTAGATGCAAGCTCAAGAAAGGACTCTCTTGCTGTCCTGCTAGTTGCAAGGAGAATAGGTAGTTTATGGTCTCCATCTATTAGCAACTTCAGGATGTGCCTTAGTTTCCAAAATGAGATCACATTCTTCTAGGGGTGACCCTTGGACCAGTGACTGAGCAAGTCGGTGGTGTCAGGACTCAGCCATTTCCACACAACATGGGACTCCTTTGACAGGCACCTGTGCTCCAGCGCACCCTGTAGGACTGACAGAGACTGTGACTTTGTCTGGTCTTCATTATGGATCCCCCACATCACAACCTGCCCAGTCCTGCCTCCTCCCTTTCCCTTTCAGTGTTGTTGTTATTGTTATTGTAAGCAGATGTAGAATCAGCTCCCAACTCATGGTGCCCCATGCACAAGGGAATGAAATGCTACCCAGTCCTGATTATTTGCATGATCAATTGCAAACCAGACTGTTGTGATCCACAAGGTTTTCATTGGCTGAATTTCAGAAATAGATTGCCTGCTGGGCCTTGTGCATTTTACTCTGAAAGCTCTGCTGGAACCTGTTCAGCATCATAGTAGCACACAAGCCTCCAATGACAGACAGGTGGTAGCTTCACATGAGGTGTAAAGGCCAGGAATCAAACCCATGTCTCCCATATGGAAGGAAAGAACTCTACCACCGAGTGCTGTTACTCCCTGATAAAGCTTTTCTTTCCTGGAAGTGTTTGCTTCCAGGAAAATGATAGCCATTTTACAAGGATAGACGTTGGCCTTCTGAGATGGGATTTAAGCCTAGTTATGCACAATGCAAAGCTATCCTCTTCCCACTGTTCTCAATTCAACAAGGAGGGATGTGGGCCTGGTGCACATGGCCCTGCACATGAAAAACATGTGATCTTGGGCAGACAAGAATTCCACACTACAAAAGATAAAGACCAATACACCCATGTTCATTAAGATAAAAACAACCTAAGTGCCCAAAACCAGATGAATGGATAAAATAAATGTGGTACATATATACAATGGAATACTACACAGCCATAAAGAAGAATGGTGAGTCCTCAAAACATCTTCTAATAAGGATAAGTCTTATGCTGAATGATATAAGTCACAATATTTATCACAAAAGGATAAATATTGTATGATCTCACTTTTATATATATGTGTGTGTGTTGTTTGTTTTTGTTAAGTGACGTCAACTCAGTTCTAACTCAGAGCGACCCTGTATGAACTGCCAGAAGAACAAACAAACAATCTGTGTTGGAAGAAGTACAGTCAGAATGTTCTTTAGAAGCCAGGATGGCTAGACTTCATCTCTCATACTTCGGACATATTATTAGGAGTCCCTGGAGAAGGATATGGTGCTTGATAAAGTGGGAGGTCAGCAAAAAAGAGGAAGACCCCCAATGAGATGGATTGGCAGCAGCAATGGGCTCAAACGTAACAATTGTGAGGATAGTACAGGACCGTTTTGTTCTGTCATGCGTAGGGTCACCATGAGCCAGTACCAATTTACTAACACCTAACAACAACAATATATATATGTGTGTGTATATATATGTTGCTGTTATTAGGTGCCATCAAGTGGGTTTCAACTCATAGTAACCCTATGTACAAAAGAAACACTTCCCTGTCTTACGTCATCTTCACAATCATTCCTCTATTTGGGTCCTTCGTTGCAGCTACTGTATCAGTCCACCTCATTGATGGTCTTCTTCTTTTTCACTGACCCTCTATTTTACCAAATATGATGTCTGTCTTCAGGAGCAGGCCCCTTCTAATATCATGTCCAAAGTATGTGAGACGAAGTCTAATCATCCTCGCTTCTAAGAAACATTCTGGTTGTACTTCTTCCAAGATAGATTTGTTTGTTCTTCTAACAGTCCCATGGTATATATTCAGTATTCTACATCACCATCATGATTAAAAGGCATCGATTCTTCCTTATATATATATGTGCATACATACATGCATAAGGTCACTATGAGTCGGAACTGACTCAACAGCACAAAATAGCAACAATACGTATATGTGAAGAGTGCCTTAACTCTGTAGGATAAGCACTGGACTGGGAACCACAAGGTCGGCAGTTTGAGTCCACCAGTTACTGCACTAAAGAAAGATGAGACTTTATACTCCCACAAAAGATTTGCAGCCTCGGAAACCTTATACAGGGTTGCTATGAGTCAGAAGTTACTCTGTGGTACTTAACAACAACAACAACATGTGCATATATACATACATGTGTATACATGGACATGTTGTTGTTGTTAAGTGCTGTCAAGTCACTTCTGGCTCATATCAACCCGATATAGGTATTCCAAGGAGCGGCTGGTGTGATTGAACAGCCAACCTTGTGGTTCAAACTGACCTTGGGGTCCAGTGCTTTATCCCACAGCAACACACCAGGACTCCGCACATGGACATATATTCATACATATAGGAAAGCACATAGAAGCACAGGAATGGGTACTTCTTAGCCACAACCAACTATCTCCCAGATTGGTTTCCTGGGTCTGAAGTCAAAGGAACAGTTTTCTAGGGCAACTTAGTTAAGGCACGTAATATGGTTCTTGAGATAATGTTCTACATAGTTTAGTGAGTAGTGTCTGGGGTCTTAAAAAATGTACAAGAAGCCATTTAAAATACAATGATCAGTTTCTTCTTGCCTGGAGAAAAAAAGAAAGAAGGAAACCAAAGACTTAAAGAAGAAATCAGTCTACAGGACAGTCTAGAGGAACCACAGCCCCATCTAGCCTGACACCAGAAGACCTAGATGGTGCCTAGCTGACACTCATTACCGTTCTGATCAGCACGACAATAGGTGAACCCTGACAGAAGGGGTGATAAATGTGGACTAGTGTTCACATTTTAAAAGTCCCGACACTGGGCCATTGGAGACTAGAGGAACCCTTGAGACTGTCATCCTGAGTTACTTTAACTGAGGCCACCTTTTAGCTAAATGGCAAATTAGCTCATATGATAAACAATATTACCTGTGATTACTATCACTTTAAAAAATCATTTATATAAGATCAAATGATCAAGAATTACTCCAAAGCAGGTCCCTGGGACCATCAAGGGAGAAAAGCAGAGAGCAGGACCCTACCCAGAGAAGCACTGACGCCAGAGATGGAGGCAGAGACGATGACGTGGAGAGATGGAGCAGCTGGGGACTTTAGACCCAGAGAGGGAGAGGGGCGTTGTGCTGACAACTGGAGGGCAGGCTTACAGGGTATATACCCTTTGGTTGGTTGATGATGTATGGAGGGGATTGTAGCCATGGCAACGAAACAATATACGATAGGATGAATGTAAAACTAATGTTCTCCCATCTAAACTATCACATAATTCACAATAAAACACTAAATAATAATAATAATGGACATTTTATAGCAAAAGGAAGGGAGTGATTGACTTTGCAGTCTAGGAGCAAGAGGTCCCTGGGACCATCAAGGGAGAAAAGCCGAGTGTGGGACCCTACCCAGAGAAACAGTGATGCCAGAGAGATGCCAAAGCAAAGATGAAAGCACAAAGCGACAGGAAAACCAGATTACTAGAATCAAAACATTCAGAATGAAATTAATGAGAATGTTGACATAGTGTGCAAAATATAATTAATGTCATGAATAAACACTAGTGTATTATATTTAATGGGGACTTAATTTGTTGTGTAAACTTTAACCAAAACATAATAAAATATTATTTTAAAAAAGATGAAGACTGAAGTGATGAATCCCAAGTACCCAGTGGCTCACTCCCTCTGAGCTGGTGCAGAGAAGAAAGCTGAGACAATGAACGGGAAGGCCCAGTCCTGATGCCTGCTCCAGAAGGAGCTCCCAGGCCTTGGTGAAGGCAGGGGCCCTGACATTTGGACTACACAAAAGCCCCGTCATTCTCCCAGGATAGGGTTTCTCAGGCCCTTTCTCTCAAAGTACTGAGCATTTTCACACCCATTAGCTCATTCCCCTTCTCATTTTACTTCTGAGACAGAGGTAGGCATAGTGCCTACTGATGAAGCACCTTCCAGTTATGGGGTCCCCATGAGGAAGGGCCGTCCTGGGTACACAGATGGGAGCGGAGGTGGGCGGTGTTGGCTTGAGGCCCAGGAATCTAGATTTACTTCATTTGTAAGAACTATAATCTTAACTTCAAGAAGAAGAAAACTAAGACCAGGGCATTAGCAACAGTTCTAAGTTAAAAAACCAGCATTCAACTTGCTATCCAACTTGTATACTTGCACTCGGCTCTTTAAATTCTGAAAGAAAAAAAGACTCTCAACATAAATATAGAACTGGAAGACATCTTGACTATCATGAAGTCCAAACTTCTCGTTCTACCAACAAAGAGTCTGAGGTACAGAGAGAAAGGAGTGTCTGAGTTCACACAGCAGGTAAGTGACAGATCCAGGCCTTGAACCCACATCTCCAACAATCTTTCTGCTTTAACACTCTTCCTCTATATTGATTGTCTTTGTGCACTCCTAGCACCTCAATTTGTAAGGCAGCTACTTGGTTAAATGAAAGTAAGAGATCCATATTTGTGCCTATTTCAAAGAAAGATGATCCTACAGAATGCAGAAATTATTGAACAATTTCATTATCAACATGAGTAAAATTTTGCTGAAGATAACCTAAAAAAAGTTGTAGTGGGACATCAACAGGAAACTGCCAGAAATTCAAATTGAATTCAGAAGAGGACATGGGATGAAGAATATCACTGGTGACATCAGATGAATCTTGGCTGAAAGCAGAGAATACCAGAAAGATGTTTGCTTGTGTCTTATTGACGATGCAAGTACATTTGATTTTGTGGATCATAACAAACTATGGATAAAGTTAAGAAGAATGGGAATCCTAGAACACTTAATTTTGCTGATAGGGAACCTGTACATAGGCAACAAGGCAGTTGTTGGAACAGAACAAGGGGATACTGCATGGATGAAAATTAGAAAGATGTGCATCAAAGTTGTATCCTTTCATCGTGCTTAAGGCTCTATACTAAGCAAATAACCTGAGAAGCTGGACTATATAAAGAAGAATGTGACATCAGAACTGGAGAAAGGCTCATTAACAACTCGTGATATGCAGATGATGCAACTTTCCTTTCTGAAAGGGAAGTGGACTTGAAGCACTTGCTGATGAAGATCAAAGAATACAGCCTTCAGTGTGGATTACAATTCAACATGAAGAAAACAAAAATCCTCACAACTGTGCCAATAAACATCATAATAGATGGTGAAAAGATTGCAGTTGTCAAGGATTTCATTTTACTTGGATCTACAATCAATGTTCATTGAAGCAGCAATCAAGAAATAAAATGAGAGACTTCTTTCAAGATGGCAGACTAGTCAGACATGCTCCATGGACTCTCTACAACAAAGATCCAAAAGATAAAATAAAACAGATACAGTTGAGAATTCTGGCACCCAGAACTTTAGATAAAAGGCTTACAAGATAGATGGAGTGTTTGCTGGAAGCAGAGACTAAACAGAGATGTCAAGAGAGGAAGACTGACTGGTGAATGGCTGACCAGATGTGGCTCTGCCATCTTGTGAGCAGTTTTCACAGCTGAGGGAGGCCTGGTGTTCATGCAGGCAACAGAAAATGTACAATTTCTTCTTTTTCTACATGTTCCCCTGATGACTAGAAATGTGGCCAGCTCCCACCCTCAACCACCCCCAGCACAGACCCAGCTCTCCAGGAGTTTGGAGCCATGTGGTTGGGAGCCATGCCAAGGTGAGTTAGGGACCAGCTGTGCTGCTTTGGTGTCCTGTTTTTGTGTCTGGGTTCAGGTGGGCTCAGCTCCAACCTATAAAACCCACAAAGCCACCAGAGCAGCATTTAACCAGTTACCCTGCCCCTAGATTTATTGTGTTCCTAAGGGACACTGAAACCAGCTCCATCAGAGGCCCCCATGAGCTACTTTGTGACTGAGTTCCCTGGATGTAGATAACATTGAGGACAATAGGAACTCCATCTAGGACTAGGAACTCTGCTGTTACATTCCTCCCACAACAACCTCATGAGCTTGTTGAATTGCAGAAGCCCACCAGAGATTTTTCCTCTCTGGGTCCAACAACTGCACTGTTTATTTTTACAAATACAACAAATTCACAATGCCCCAGAAACAACAGACAATTTTAGACCACATAAAGAAACAAGAGAGAATGGCTTAAACAATGACTAAGATGCATTTCTGAAAAAGAAAATGCAATGGAATTAACTGAAAAAGAATTTAAAAGAATGTTAGATGCCTTCAAAAGATCGATAGATTAAGGAAAGAAAGGAGGACACAACAAAAACTTAAGGAGAATTCAGGAAAACACTACAAGAACAGACAAAATAAATGAAAAATTTGAAACAATGTTAAACGTGCAATTAGAAATTCAGAAGATTACTACTAAGATCTCAGAAATGGAAAATACATTGAAAGGGCAAAGGAATAAGATATGAAGCAATGTAAGCCCCAATTAGTGAGTTTGAAGAGAAATCTCTCAAATACTAGTATGCTAGAAGAATAATCAGAAAATAGAATGAAAAAAATCCAAAGAAAGCCTAAGAGTTATGTGAGACACCATGAAGAGAACAAGTTACGGGTGATCAAAATTCCAGAACAGCACAGAGAAAATTGTCTAAGAGTTG